CAGTCGGATTTTACTACATAAAATTCCGTCCCAAGCTGATTTGGGCTTAATAGGCGGCTGGGCCTGTTAACCGTGGGCTTAATAACTGGCGACTACTGTATGAGAACTGAGTACGACATTTGTCAGTTAGACAACGAGATTCCGAAAGCAATATCCAGGGGATCTAGACTAGTTCATGTTGGGACAACAAATGCATAAAACATTTGTACTCGTTTTTTAAAGGGAATACGCTACTTTTAAACCAACCTGGTGGAGTTTATCTTCGTAGAAGCCACATGACGATTCTTCTCGCCCCTTGCTAGAATCTGATGAATCTGTTCCTCAGTTTCAACTGACGCCCACGTTGCTCCAACGACAGTAACCGTGGCCCCGAGGTTGCGTAAGTCCAGAACTTCGCATCCATTCGATGGGCTGATGAGGTCAACGATAGTTTCATTATAGATTTCAACCATACTGACCTGTGAAGAAAATAAATTAAGGTTGACACCTTGAACTCTTTTAATCTAACCACCTTGATCCGAGATCCTGTCGGGTGTTATGTTTTTCCCAAATCATGGACCCGAACCGCATCGGGCGAAACTTTCCAATACTGGTTTAAGATTAGGAAGGCAGCACTGTAAGAACTTTTTAACCGCGTAGATTTCTTCCTCAAATGAGCGGATAATTCATCATGTTTGCAGACAATGCTGTTTGCCGAAATGTGCTTCGGATTTAATTGATTGAGCTTGTTGGCTTAAATAGGGGGGGGGTATTTTTGAATAACAGCTGGTAAATGGATTAATGTTATTTGCTCAGGAAAGGTGGAGGGCAATGGAACAACTTGGCAGGGGACTTGTAAGTGCAGAGCGTGCTAATTTAACGCAGTCATTCATAGGCTGCATCCTAAAAGCAATCGATTTTAAAAGTGACTTACCGTAAGTTTGTATTCCATCCTCTGTCTTCCCTTGACGATGCGTAAGAGCTCCCGAAGTGCGCTTCAGATTAGAGTTGCAGCTTCAGCCAAAATGAGAGAAGGACATACCGAATATTAACACCGGGACTGTTAGGCGGGCCTTGCATTGTGAATGTCTTACCACTTCCAGTCTGCCCATAGGCCATAATGCAGACATTGTATCCATCGGCAACTGACGTAATAATGTCACGCAGCTCGCCAAAAATCTACAGCAGGAGAAACAGGAAACGAACGATACTGAGATTTTGTTTGTCGGCTTAGCGTGTAGTGGACACAGTAGCTTATGCAGTCCCTCTCATTAATCCCTACTCCCTGCATTTTGTCCCACCAAAACGGTGGTTATAGGGTTTTATGGGTGGGGAATTAGGACACGTAGTGGAATGGAATGGAACGTAATGGAATATACTTTAATGAATGCCAAATGCGTTTTTATGTTACTGTATTCAGAAGGGTAGTTGACTTATATCTGCAGATTTTCCTAATCTGTAGTATCGTTTAACGTTTTGCGGAAAAAACCCAATTATCAAATTGCAGGTTTCATGAAATTCCCAAAAAATTGAAAAGGTGGTTAAGAAGTCGCCTTCTTAAACTTACCTGAGGTCCACCTTACCGTTCTGGCGTTAGAATAGTATAGTCCGCAGCGTGAAGCGCCGCGCACATCTTCAGTTTACATGCGGAACAACCTGCTCCCAGCGGCCGCGGGAAACAACTTCGACTGCATTTTTTCCCCTTTACACTTACTTCTAAACACTTTCTTCTCTGTCTAGCTCATTTGTTCACCTCTCAAAACCTTATAACTACCGTTTTCGTAGGACAAAATGCCGAGACTAGGGGTATATGAGGGGGACTACATAAGCTAGATTTGCAGGTTTGTGTGTTCCAGGAATAATTTTCGGCAACGATGTACCAGGAACAAAGGATGGGTCAGCATGTAGTAGCCGACTAACGCTTGTGCTTGTTTGGATTATCATTCGGTGTCCGGTTATTAGGGTGGAAGTAATAGTTCGTTGACTTTCGTATCAGTCCAACCGACAGCCATCTTTTGTTGTCTGACTGGGCTCGTATATTGCGTCCTTGCCGGATTTTCTAACGGACACACGCTACGATCGTTACTTTGGAGTTGGGGACTGCGACTTACTTGCCTAGCTCTTCATCTGTGGTCGAATGGAAAAAGCAGGCATATTGTGGCCGCAGTGCGAACAGTTACCTGTGTAAACCTAGCGAGGCTAATACATACTGCGATTGTTTGAGGAGGACAGGTAACAAAATATTTGTCCGTTAGGCATTAAGGAACTCCAGCAGTTGGTATTTAATCCCAGGGAAACGAATTTGACTACCTTTCGCCTCTATAATTTTTCTGCATTTGACATTCGCTACTTTTCAATATTCGTTTGTTCGCCGTCTGCACCGCGGTTAGCCTACCTGCATGCCTCTGTTTACGCATAATTACAAGTCATTGACAATATTATGGAGGATTTATGCAGTTCACGCCAACATTTAGAATGGTGCTACTTGCAATAGGGAACATTCCTATAGGACGCCGAATGCAAAATAGCATTTGGGATTCAAATTCCACCCGACGGGACGTTAGCACGTAGGTTGACTGGGAAAACGTTTGAACCCTCGGACGGTTTCACATCCCAGTTCGTGTGAATGAAAAATTGAGTATGGCTGACTAACGAAGAAAAAGAGGCTACAAATTATCATTCTAGTTTATACAGAGTCTAAGAGAGAACGGGAAGGCGTCTCGACATTATGACTTACTTCTTCCTGTCTGGCGGAGGGTCTGAAAACACGATCAAACTGATAATTTCGTTGGGTAGAATTTGGTAGTTTTGCAGCCAGGCTATTCTCATCCAGCGCTTCAAACATATCGAAGGAGGCACCTGGATCAAAACTGGGCCTTACGCGACAGAAAACTCGAATATTGCCCCGGAGCTCAATCAGTGTGTTGTAAAGCTGTCGTCGTTGTTCCACTTCTTGGCGATATAGAGCCTTCATCTCATTGAGGCGGTTGAAATTGGACATGCCAGACCGTTGGTACCGATTAAGTACTTCTGTAATCTGAAGCAAATGGGAGTTCAAATTGGCGTTGTAACTTACCATACTAATAGCCTAGGTACTTGCTAAAAGGCCCAGACA